GACGTAGAGGAGTAAAAATAATATATAATGCTGAAACTGTCGGGAAATGCAACTCCAAAAGAAGATCCGAAGATATACTTACACAGCTAAATAGAAATCCCTAACAAGACACTGCGTCTGACAAGAATGAATAATTCCTCGAAGGTGTACTAAGAAAAAATCATTGAAAATGAACAGTCCAAAAGTTTCTGGAAGCCATAATCATATAAGCATAACAGTTTTTAAACCAATAGGAGAGAAGTTCAATAAATCTGTTTTCCGAGAGATCAACACATTTATTTCCCATTCAATTGGAAAACAAGTTTTCCAGAAGCTACAGGACTTTTGGTCATAACAGCTTGTAAGTCTTCAGAACAGCAAAACCGCAATGACTACTTCTAAATTCCAAAATTTCATCAAAATAAAAGTTGTTTATTCTCTTATTACCACAACTAACATCATCTCTAAACTCCTCATTTGGCATGCTAGTTCGTTCATGTCTTTATACTAAGCCAGTGACTCTATCATGCAAAAGATCCCTCTAAATATACTATTCTTCTCACAAACAGAGTCCTTTGCTCTTTTTTTCTTCCTCTTTCAATTTTCTTTTCTGCCCGTGTAAATATACTCAATACGGATGGTTACCATTTTTCTAAAGAATTTCAGAGAATGTAGTTAAACCTTTGGAATTACATCTCTAAGAACTTTCCCAAAGAGTGTAGGAGACACTATTAAAGGTAACAAGTGAGGATAACTCTATATCGACATTTTCACCTATTTCAGTGCATACACTTTTGCAAAGGGCTTTCTAACCTCTCGCCACTAATATGCAATTGACAATTTTACATAACTGCTATATTTTCTCCTTTTGCCACCATTGTTGTTTTTGATGTTGCTGGGTCGCGGTTGAAGAATGGCAGTGGGTTCCAAAGAACATCAAGACATGCATAGTAACAATAAAGGCATAAACCACTCCAACTTCACAACCATGAAGCAGCCTCAACTCCCTACCTCTTACACTTGCATTCTCTAAACCCGCTATTGGTACACAATAAGATCAACATATTGCTAGTTTCTTGGAACAAGGCATTTGTAATGTAATCCAATGGCATATAGCGCACAATATTGTCAAAGCTCCTGTGAGCTACAACAACTCAACAAGCAATTAGAAGAAAAATCACCTGCCGAATAGCAATCTGTTTTTGAACCAAACGCAAACAGAGAGTTCAAAGTCTAGGAGACTATCTCACATATAATATGCAGTGCACACAGCATATTCAACTGATTTGGTGTGTCCAGATGAGAATTCCGAACTCAGGGCTCAAGTGCTGAAAGGTGAGGTTTATAGAAATTAGTCCCTCCTTGTAAAAAACAGGTTTCGAAAGCCTCCTTGCTCATGGACAACCAATTGAAGACCAACAGGTCCTTATGCATGGATGAATCAAAGGATTAGAATTGGACCTCTTGATCATAGAAAATAAAGTTCCATCATGTACACGAAGGAAGGGGGGGAAATCCACACAACTTCATATTCAGATACACAGTGGGATTCAGGGCATTTGTAATATTGGATGTGTCCCAATCTAAGAAATTACTCATGTTTAAGTTGTTAGGAAATTGATTGTAATTGGCAAAAATTCTGTGAGGTCACCATTTAGTTGTATCTCAACTAAATCTATGGTCAATATGCTTTTGAAGATTGAAGAACAAAGCAAGATGTGGTAAAGAAGCTCAAGCTAAATGGATATAAAGTGGATAAAGCTCTCTAGCGCTATCGAGGATGAGGAAAATGGACTAGGCATGAAAATTGCAAACCAGTGTTCAGCGCTCGAGCATTGTCCTGTTCATGGCTGGCAGAATTGCATTCCAGAAGTCAGCACTCTCCAGACTGCTCGAGCGCTGCATCGGAAAATAAATTTCTTCCTTGCCAATTTAACTCGATTTTCCTACACCTATAAATAGAGGATGTCTCTTATGACAAAATTAAGACACAAGAGAGACTCTAGGATTTAAAAAAGGCTACAAAGACTTAGAGAAACCTTGCCATAGAATCTTAATCAAATCCCAATCTCTACTAAGATCAATCTAGGATTGTTGAGGGAAGTTATGCTAGAACTTTGAGAGATCTTGTACTACACCAAAACCCACAAGACCAAGGATCTAATGAGAATTCCAAAGGAGAAGAAGGAGGATTCCAAAGATTGGATTGTGGAGTTCGATTCGTCAGCTGTTGAAGCTGGTCGTCAAGATCTTACAGTGGACTCTGAAGTGAAGATTCATGAGAACAAACGTATAACTATGTTACTGGTTGAAGTATAAGACCTTGATTACGTAATTTAATTTTGAGGCTAGTGAATTAGGTTAGGTGGACTACGCTCCCGTGATTTCTTTTAAAGAGGGTTTTCATGTAAAAATTATTTGTGTTGTGTATTGTGCTTACTTTACAAACCAGCATTTTTTTACTTCCTTCAATGTGTTTGATATATTGTTTGTGGGAATCCGACTTGTGGTGCTGGCTGTTTTGAGTGCTTGGATCAACTTGGTTGAATTGGTAGTTGGGATTGAAGTGATAAGGTTGGTAGTTTATGCACAATTGAAATTGCTCAAATTTGGGTATTTTGCATAGATACACTAATTTAAGCATTGGGTCATATTAATTGAGGGGTCAATTGTGTTAATTGGTTGATTAATTGATAATGAATGTAATAGGTTTTAATTGGGCATTAATTCCACGCTCGAGTGCTTAAGACCTATTCACCCAAACTATGTTATTAAAGTATGTTTCAACATGTTGGGGTCCATCTCATATTCACACTCCCGTAGGTCACTCCCATTAATACCAACTCAACAGAGTCTTATGAGAGTATGACAGCAATATGGGGCAACTCACACAAAAATCTGTCTATCAGCATATTTAATCCCCATGGTTCACGTCTTTAAGTTTAGTAGTTTTGTCACATACTTTATGTTAAACCATAACATATATCTTCTTGCCATGTTTTTGTAAGGCCTTTAATATAGCACAATAGTGAAAGAAAATTCATACTGTAGATCCCAAAAAAATTGGGATAAGGATAAGACTTTGTTGAGTTGAGTTGAGTCGAGTCTAACCATGACAAATCAGCCACCTATCAAATTTGTGGGCATGAAGTGGTAATCTAGGGCAGGCAAGCATTGAGGGTATCATGCATAAGGATGATATTCCTGGTTGATATAGGACAATGCCACGATAATTTGGATGAACTGAGTGCAATTTAGCACAAAATTTATCAAGCCTGGAATAAAGTGCACAAGGAATAGATCAAGGTCCAGGAAAGAAAAACCAATAAACCAATGCTGGAACACCATTTCAATTTAACATGCATTACCAATGGAATTTCTGCACAGCCCAAATGCAAAACTCTAGTCCGTCCCACCCTATAAAAATGACACTATTTCAAATTCATCAGTCCATGGATAGCAAGACCCTGGGAGCTTTCTGTTTCTCAACTTTCTTTGTATGAGTGTGTCTCATGAGAGGAAAAACTGGATACAGAAAACAAGCTTTAGCATTGGAAGTATCAAAGTTCTTTCCAATCCGATTCCCCATCTTCTATTATCATTCTTCTTCCAGACAATTAACATTTTTTATTTCCATAGCAGGCTTGCTTCAGATCTTACATGAACAGGCAAATCCACGAATAGAATACACAAATAGGTAAGGCACTCAGGCATTAAATTTGAATTGTCCCTTGGGAGCTGCTTATGTAAAGTTTGGTCATACATTCCTCTTTATGGTAGAAACTTCAAAGTCCTTGAAATAAAAAAAAAACCCGAGACACAGCAACTAAAAAGGAACCATGAAATATAGTGTTAAGTAGACAAAGACTGTCTCAATGGTCTTTCTTGGACATCCGGACGGATTAGAAACCAACTTCCCAAATCTTGATAGTCACGACTCACAAGCACGGTCCAGTAGTATGCGCTTTACACACAAGAGCTCCCATCAAATTTATTCAATCTTGCATATACCAAGTCCAAGCCTTCAGCTTCGGGTCACAAGCCACCAAACTCATATGATAACTTATTGTTTAGGAGTCCCTCTTCAAATAAAGAGAAGCATGCTAGGTGGAGGGTCGCGGAGAACACCACACTAAATTAAAATTGTATAATAGGCACTAGTCAAGTTGTTTGGTTCGGTCTACAGTTACCAGATGCTGATTTGTTACTGCTTCAAATGCAGTACAACTCCAGATCCAATCGGTCCACTCTAACCCAATCCATTTATTTTAGATAGGTCCAAAAAATTATGGTCACTCATACGGTTTTATAATATTATGAGATTAACCCTGGTTCAAACTAAAATTACATATAACCGAGAGTAACTATGTATGGTTCAAGATCGCGATATTGGCCATCAACTCGGAGAGCTCTAAAACACATCGGTCGCAGCATCGCGACGCAATATCAAGCGATACGGCCTAAAATAAAATGTTGAATATGACGAGAGATTCAGATCATACCGCAGCATTGCAGAATCATGTCGGCTGATTCGGTGACGATAACTCGGCAATTCAAGATTGATTCGGATACAACTCGGCCGAGTTATGCAAGACTCGGGATTTATACGTATCGTGTAACGGTATCATCTTGGAAGGTGCCAAGTCGGATACGACTCGGCCGACTCGTATTGGTATCGGCCGATACTTTGATCCATGTAACTATGTGATGTCTGGAAAACAAAAACATAAAAATCAACTTACGCCAAGATGCCACGAAATAGATGATCGTAAAGATTTTCGCAGCTTTTCATATGAAGAGGCATTTTCATCGCTGAGCTCACCTTTAACATTCAAAATCTTTGCATTATCATGCTCCATTTCACGAAGCAACTTCAATTCAGGGACAGAAAAGAAGTCCATTAGTTGCAACAACTTAAATAAGAAACACTATGCACAAAACATTCATCATGAAATAAATGGATCCACAGGAATTTATAAACGTCTTAAATAACTTGTAACTTCCTAACTTTTCTGAAGGCATCAAAAACTTGCAATGTGTTCAGACTGAAGCAGTTCTGCAGCAGCATCATAATATGTATGAAACGCCTTCCTGAAGAATTTCTTCTGATCTGCTGTGATATTAAGGCCCTTATAAAACTGTAACAATCAATCAGAACGGAACCTTAAGGATAGAAGAAGATTGGACAAATATGCCAATTAAAAAACGTAACTACAGGATGCAACTAAACAAGATAGAAACCAATCTTTGCAACTAAACAAGGCTTCATTCTTCAGGAGGCTTTTGACATCTAAAGTGTATTTGCAGCCTACTACACGAACTTCAAAAATAAAAAAATGTTCTGCAGAAACCAGAAATAGTGATATAAATCCTCAACCAAAAGATACGAAGAATTAATTGAAGTACTGATTCTTTTTCTGCATATTCAAGTAGCATTCAAAATCTTGCGCAGCTTCTGAAATTCAACAATAGAACAACAAATTATACATCATCCATTTAGGAGAAACAACAAGAAGATGATAATCCGATCCAAGCCGAATGAAAGATATAGACAAGAGTTATAGAAATTTGACATATTAACTAATGAAAAAGGTGCACCTCTTCGACAACTTCTTCTCCAGACTGAGGAAGTCCTAAGAAATATCTCCCTTGTCGAGCAAAACTAGTAAGAAGAGATAAATTAATCTGAGTTGCATCTCGGTCCTTTAAGTATTCTATGCTGGTGAGATCCTTAATAAATTTACAAAAATGCCACTGTCCTCTATAACTCCAACCAAGTAAAGCTCCAAAAGAAGTTTTAAACTGCTGCGCTTCTTCATGGCCCTCGAATTCCTGTCCACATCTAAGTCCTCCGCTGATTTTCCAGGGAAAAAGACTTTCAAAAGGCCTTGAACCAAAGTTGGCGAGAAATCTTTGTACCTTTGATGAAGCAAAGAACATATCTGATTTGGCAGGGAAAAAAAAGCACAAGAGAAAAAAGCATGTAAGAAATACAAAGAATAGCAAGAGGCCCAATAAAACACACAGGTATAACTCAACTCAACCAAGCCTTGTCCCAATTTTTTAGGTTCGGCTGCAAAAATATTGTTCCACCACTGAACATTTGAGGGTTCAATCCGTTCATGAAAGAATATGATCCAATGATACAAGAGAGATTCATGGAGGGCACATATATGGGATTTGAACATCCAAACAAACACAACCGTGAGCCGGCACACATAACCACCTCTATACCAAGTAAACATTGGACTAGTATCCAGCAACAAATTTACCTATCCATGCTACATTGAAATTTCACCCAAAAAAAAAAAAGGCTCCTCCTGGGTCTTTGGTCTCATACTATCATCCCTCTTCCAAAATGCACTAGAATACAGTCATGCAATAGTCACATCGGCAGAAGAGGGTGTTCTCGCCATTTAACCAGATGCACAATACATAATGTGTGAAAGAAAAGAAGGCTGATTTATAGAAAACATTTTGATGATGAAATCACTTTGGTAGGAATTTTTAATAGAACTTAACCCTAACGCACAAGCATGAATTGCACGTTTACAAGTCCTACTTCCACTTTGAAAAGTATTTTCAATAAAATTTAAAATTTAACTTACAAACCTAACACACAAGCATGGATTGCAAGTTTTCAAGTCCTAATTCAAGCCAAAGCTGGCGAATTATGAGACCAAAGAGAAAAAAAAAACCCTTACATATCGACCAAAACATTTTTGTACTCACTTGCCAGCAGGCTTCAACCAATATCTCAGGAAAAATAATTCAAGGAAATTCCTAAATTGCATTTTCGATAAATCGTCTTAAATCAATGGCTACCTGAACTGCGGCTTGTATGTCTGAAGTTCTAAGTTTGGCATCACAAATAGCAGGCACTGCTTCACTCACAAATTTGGTTAAGTTGACAATTCGCAACTCATCCATCAAATCTTCCCATTGCTCGTCATTGATCTGTTTAAGTTTTTTGATAACTGCAGTGTTGCGTTTAATGCTGGAGTCTAATGTCCTAAGGAAACCCAAATCTGAACCAATAGCGCCAAAAATCAATACTCATGGAAAGGAGTTTGAGCCAAAAATAATATACTAATTTTTATGAGACTATGTCAAAATCAAATGTTCCTATGTAGCCAAGATAGCTACTCCAACTCTGCTTGGAACACACTAAACATTCAGCCAGCTGCATATGTGTGCTTGGGTATTTATGACGAGAACAAATTTCAGAGAACTTTTTAAGCTATATGAGAACTTTTACACTACCAATACTGTCCATGAAAGTCTACAAAAAATAATTCCTTAATACTGGTTTGCATAAACCAGGAACAAAACCGACTTTGAGAATAATTTTAACACTTGCTTTCCCATGTTTACCTGTGTTTAAGAAGACTCAACTGGAGTCTCTCTTAACAGCTTACCCAAGAGGAACACCCCCCCCCCCCCTTTTTCCTTTTCCTTCTTCCTGTCCAACCCCAGGAAAAAATAAAAGGCAAAGAAAACAAAGAAATACCGGGAAAATGAAATTCATGCAAGTTAGTTTTGATTGTTGGTGAGGGCTACTCCTTCGGATAGAGATTATCAGTTCAGGCTGGTTCCTGCATAAATCAGTAATACAGCCAACAACAACCACAAGCATGATTCTCAATCAGCAACATCAAAATTTTATATGCATAATGTATAATGGAAGCATCCCATTATTTCAGCTCTGAAGGAGATGCTAACATTTTCATAACAATTTAACAACACTGATTCCGCATCTATTCCACTATTAGCAGGCTTCTAATGCTTGAAAAAATCAGAATCGACTGTTCTACCTCAATGTCCCATGAATGAAAAGATTGAGAAGGAAGACCCAAACATCATAGATGCAGTTGTAAAATATGTGTACATATCCCAGCACATAAAATTGTCGATGATTCTAGATACCCACTACTAAATTTCAAATATGAAAAGTATTATCAGGCTTATCTTTTTGTTCATAGGTTGACATCGAGTAAAGTTCATCTATACCCTGTCAAGAGTATTATCAACATCATTTCTTTGTTCGAGGGCTTCATTCAACAAAAACAATATGGTAATTATTCAGCAAATCATGGTCACGCTAAACCAATCACATATATGATGTTTAACTAAGCAGTTACAACTCTAAAAGAAAAACAAAACATCATGTTCAAAATTTGAAAAACCAAGCAAAATTGACTTGTATGGAAAAATCACTATCAATTACTAACCAGGCCTTTCGGGGTTCAAGTTACTCTGACAAAGAGCCATTTTTGCTTCCACTGATTTCATAAACTCCTCAAGACGAACAACAGCTTCCTGCAAACAAAGTATACATTTCTATCTTAGCAAGTTCATTTAAAAATCGGACTTTCTGAATGTTAGTAGAAAAGAAAAAATAAAAAGAACCTACCATTGTTCTTATTCAGAAAGGTAATGCAAGAGAGAACTTGGTTAAGATTAATGTTGGCACATTCACATAGATAAAATAACTAAACTGCAATTAAATGCAGATCCCATTGTTGCCCAGCATCCAAATCATAATGAAATTTCCAATGAGCTTAGCAAATTAATCCGTGAAGCTGTGCACAAAATAANCCCCCCCCCCCCTTTTTCCTTTTCCTTCTTCCTGTCCAACCCCAGGAAAAAATAAAAGGCAAAGAAAACAAAGAAATACCGGGAAAATGAAATTCATGCAAGTTAGTTTTGATTGTTGGTGAGGGCTACTCCTTCGGATAGAGATTATCAGTTCAGGCTGGTTCCTGCATAAATCAGTAATACAGCCAACAACAACCACAAGCATGATTCTCAATCAGCAACATCAAAATTTTATATGCATAATGTATAATGGAAGCATCCCATTATTTCAGCTCTGAAGGAGATGCTAACATTTTCATAACAATTTAACAACACTGATTCCGCATCTATTCCACTATTAGCAGGCTTCTAATGCTTGAAAAAATCAGAATCGACTGTTCTACCTCAATGTCCCATGAATGAAAAGATTGAGAAGGAAGACCCAAACATCATAGATGCAGTTGTAAAATATGTGTACATATCCCAGCACATAAAATTGTCGATGATTCTAGATACCCACTACTAAATTTCAAATATGAAAAGTATTATCAGGCTTATCTTTTTGTTCATAGGTTGACATCGAGTAAAGTTCATCTATACCCTGTCAAGAGTATTATCAACATCATTTCTTTGTTCGAGGGCTTCATTCAACAAAAACAATATGGTAATTATTCAGCAAATCATGGTCACGCTAAACCAATCACATATATGATGTTTAACTAAGCAGTTACAACTCTAAAAGAAAAACAAAACATCATGTTCAAAATTTGAAAAACCAAGCAAAATTGACTTGTATGGAAAAATCACTATCAATTACTAACCAGGCCTTTCGGGGTTCAAGTTACTCTGACAAAGAGCCATTTTTGCTTCCACTGATTTCATAAACTCCTCAAGACGAACAACAGCTTCCTGCAAACAAAGTATACATTTCTATCTTAGCAAGTTCATTTAAAAATCGGACTTTCTGAATGTTAGTAGAAAAGAAAAAATAAAAAGAACCTACCATTGTTCTTATTCAGAAAGGTAATGCAAGAGAGAACTTGGTTAAGATTAATGTTGGCACATTCACATAGATAAAATAACTAAACTGCAATTAAATGCAGATCCCATTGTTGCCCAGCATCCAAATCATAATGAAATTTCCAATGAGCTTAGCAAATTAATCCGTGAAGCTGTGCACAAAATAACTAAGAAGTGAACTTGCTTAATACAAAAATCTCACCTCGTCATTTTGTTTTCCCTGGTGTTCACCTCCAACACGACATTCATCCTCAGGGTGTTCCATCTGGCTGCTTGCAATAACAAAAAATTACCTACTAACAAGGAAAATCATTTGACCAATTATTAAGAAAATCCACCCATAGAAACAAAATAACCAAAACTATCGAAAACTCACCAATTAGGCAATTGAAACAGTCAAACTAAGTATAACTTGTGCAAGAAATGGGTATCCAAGCTCATCCAAAACCGTGATCCATTTCTGAATAATTAATACAAAAATGGGTAGCATCTAGGATTCTTAAGGCTTATGAGCAAGCCTGCTAGGTGCATAGTTGTACCCAAGTGTTCAACCAACGAAAGTACCACTTTTATATGTCAGCATAATATATTGCATTAACACCCTTGTCACCATTGTACACTTACAATTGCAATTTTGGTCTTGTAGAAAAGGAAAACTACATTTCCTCTAACTGTAACATCACATTAGTCGAATCATAACAATCACTTTTTTAGACTTTTAGTGCACACCATGTACCCACCCAATTCGTAAATCATCCAACGAAAGGGTAAACAGGAAACAGGACAATGTTCTTGAAAAACATTGCACATTTACAATTCCGCTTCACAATATATCACTGCCATATTCAACATTGGCTTAGTTTTCAATAACGTGTTTAAAAAGTTTGTAGCACTCTCGCAGAGGTCCATAATTTTGCTTTCATTTTCTTCTGTTATTTTTGTTCCTTTTTCTCCCCAAAAATAACTCTTTCCCATTCATTCTAAGGGCATCATCATTAAAGAATTTGCAAAAAAAAAACACAGAAATATTGGAGAATAGTTACAACTATCCCGAGTTTTTATTGCCGACTACGACAATTCGTTAATGCAACCTCAGTTATAACACCTTATTCCATTCTATAGACACACTATCAGAGACAGTAACTAAAACACTCATTGTGCGTGCAAGATCCTGCACAATATAAAAAACGAGAACAGATCTCTCCCTTGGTGATCGAGTGAGCCAGTTGAGTGACCAACCACGCTGCTTGGAACAACCTGCGAGGTCCGGTGGTAACCTGGAACGGCAAAGGGAGACCCTGGGGGAGTGGAAGAACGATCCAGTAAGGCTGAAAGAGGTCCCTGGAACAAAGAAGAACAAGTTAGAAGGGCGCGGAGTGTTTTCCGACGTATCCCCTCCGACGATCTAGTTAGTCTTTGAGAAAAAGAGAGGAAGGAGAAAACACTGAGTGTGTATTGTAGTAAAGGGTTTTTTGTTGCATACCCGTCTTGCCTTTTGCAAGGAGTATTTATACCTCAAAAACTCATGATTGCTGTCAGTGTAGTCAGTAGGTGATCATTAGGTACAGGCAGTGTGCGCACTGATTCTGATGAGGAATGTCTTCTCTTCTTAACTGCTCGGGGTCCCGAGCAATCAATGCTGGGTCATCGGGATGCCGATGGTACAATGTACTCCTCTCGGGGAGGATGCAATAAATGCTCTGTATTAGGAGCATTTATTGCCTTTTATTTCCGAGCCTTACCGCATTGAATGCGGTCTCATCAAGGGAATGGTGTAATTAATCGTTTGCTTTCCCAAGTCGCGTGTCAGCAACGACATGCGGTTTCTCTGTCTTCGATGTGATATCATATGCCACGCGTCCATCCCCCATTGGCTGTGGCCCCTGCATTCCAGTACGTTCTGACACTAATTGTGTAAGACGAGGTCATGATGAATAGCCTAGACTAGCCTAGGCTAATGACCTGTACGTCAATAGCTTATCCTGGAGTAGAGGAAGCGTCCAGGACGGGGTACCTCTCGGCACCGAGGAAAGGCTCATCTCGGAACCGAGGGAGGTATACCGACCGAGGTACCATATCAGACCGAGGCCACGTGTTGGTTGTAACTCGTACTGAAATGCCATGATCCTATATGACGAGTACCTCGGGGGCGAGGACCTTTATGCGCCGATGGTGCTTGATCTTAGTAACAGTGTTTTGGTAAATACCGAGGACACGTGTCTTCATCATGGAGTATTTCAGAAAAGTCCCATCAATTGCCCCCCAGCCTTCGATCTTCTGACACCGAGGGCACGCGTCGTAAGGAGACGAAGGGTTTCCCAACAACCACAAATGCTTCATCATTGCCTCGAGCCGCTTTCCCCGGCTTAGGATGTCGTGTGCATTAAATGCGTCGTTTCGTTTTTCGCGCCCAATGATGAAACAGCCACTATATAAATGGGGTTCCTCTTGCATTTTCTTGTTTCGCCATTCCGAACTTCCTCAAGAGAGCCTTTTCCTGAATCTTCGCCGGAGATCTCTTTCCTCTTCCATCGTCAACTGCCCATTCTTCCTTAAAGTCCTAAGGCCAGCAGACCCATCGTTGCTTCTGAACTTTCTGGAAGGAGTCGCCTAAAGTTTTCCAGAAAAAACTCCGTTTGGCATTCGGGTGAGTCCTAGTTTCTTTCTTCTTTTCTTCCTCCTATCCCTTTTTGTTTTCCGATGACTGGAGGTGTCTCCGGTTGATACTTAGCGACTAATCCTCGGGAAGCTTCCTCAGGGATTTTTAAGAAAAAACACCCTCCACTTTCTCACTTTCTTAGAGATGCCTCGTCGTCGCCCTGCTCCCGAGAATCCTCAGGCTGGTTCTTCGGGGTCGGGGAAGTATAAAGTAAAGGGTGGTGAGCAGATTAATAGGTTTAAGGTCAAGTACGGCATTCCCCCGTGCGTAGACATAGAGGATTATGACTCGGTGGTGCACTTTCCTACCCTCGGGGCCGAGGATGCTATGCCCTTTTATACCAAGGCCATAATAGAGGGCGAAATTAGGTTTCCTTTACCCCCTTTACTTCTACAGTTCCTCTCTCACTTCCGCCTCTTCCCCGGGCAGTGTTGCCTTAATGTCTTCAGAATAATTATGGGGGTCTTAGAGCTCAATAGGCGCCTCGGGGTAAATATTGGGCTGAACGATCTCCTTTTTTGTTATTCCCTCTTGAGAGTCATGCCTCACCAACACTTCTACCTCAAAGCCAGGGACCCCTCCATGTACCTTGTAACTCATCTTCCCGACTCGGACAAGGAGTACAAGGACGATATTCTTATTTTCAAGGGATCTTGGCAAAGAGGTGTTGGTCCCGAGTATAACGGCTTGTTATGCCCTCTGGAATGGAGAACGACAA